CCCCAAAACCCCAAAACCCCAAAACCCCTCAAAAGGGAATCAATCAAGATTTTCTAAATTAAACAAAATTTTTAAATCAAAAGCAATAATTATCATGATATTTTAACTTGATTTTTTAGGTAGAATACGTTTGTGTATGACCTTGTCAGTCTTTTACTAGCAGTTTAGTTTGGCAAATCATCTTCATTATCTTATTTTTTCTCTTGAAATGATTCTTTTCTACGTTTCTATTTCACTACTTACTTTTATCTTTTCATCTTCTAGGGTGGTTCTTCTGGTTTATGCTCTATTTTATCTTAATTAATCTCTGAATTTTAATTTTCTAAAGCAATTATCTATTTCATGAAAAATTGATAAAGAAAATTTAATTACTTATATTGAATCAACCTTTTCTTCGAGCTTTTCCTATTGCTTTTTCAAATCTGAAATTGAAGTAGCAATTTATTCAATAGCAAATTTGACAGTATCAAAATTTTCTAAAAATGTCAATTGCAAAAATGGTTCTTACGCTTAATTTCGAATTAGAATTCCTACTATTTGCTTATAGTATTTCCAACTTCTCTTAACTTATTTTTAAGACTCTGTACAACTCTAACAGTCTTTTCTTACTCTTTCTCAATAGTTATCCTAACTTTTTTCTCTATGCTATTTATCATACCTGTCCACTCATTCTCCTCGTTCTTCTTGAGTTTTTCTAATTCAGCAAGAACTATATATTTGACATTTTTAAATACTTCTTTTCTTCTAAATAAAAACTCGTTTTCTCCAATCAATTAGCATTTTACTTTAAATCTTTCATTACTTTAAACCAGCATTACCTAATAATAAATATCACTCAATAATGATATCAATAGATTCAAAAGCACTATATTTGCTATAGTAGAATTAAGTAAAAAGAATGCATAAATTAGGATTTTATATCGCTTAATTGCTTCAAATTTGTCCTATTAAATATCACCTAATACTATTCTATAAGCAAACACAAAAGCGGTTAAAATATCTGATCCTGTTAGCTTTTTATCTGGGGTTTCATATTGATCTAAAGTAGCCAAGATATAATAAGTATTCCCAAATCCAAAAAGAGTTAGGAAAAATATAATAAAAAACAAATTAGAGCCTTTTATTACATAGAAAATGACGTTAATCAATGCAGCATACTTTTCAAATATTCTGAGTTATAATAAAAACATAAGATATGACCAAAAAACAATTACTGAGGATAATATCTTAAATATATCTCTTAGTGGGTTATCTAGAAAATCCTTAATAGTGTTGTCCTCATAGATTCCAATTAGCCCAATATCTAGCATAGTTGCTATAATCACAGAGATATGATAAATTAAGAAGCCAAGAACTGTTCTTGATTTTGAGCGTTTGTACTTGTTAAATTCCAAAATTACGAAATAAATAGCAAGAATTGTTTAGAGTGCACCAATCACATAATGTATTATCTGATAGACCATCTCCTCTTATTCTGAGTATTTTTAAAATGTATGATAGGTAAACAAATTTCTATTCAGGTTTGTGTTGTAAAGTAGGACAAGGATTATTTGAATACACATTGGAATAAACTCGTACAGTACAACTTTATGTCTGAGAATTTTCCACTAAGTATTAATAATTGTTTAAACTATCTTTAAAGTAAAAAGTGCTGAGTCTATTCTTTGATTTTTTAGATATTATATAAACTATTGACCAGTATCATCTTTTAGAATCCATCCAAAATCATAGGTTTCAAATACAACTGATTTCTTATCAGTATTCATATATAAGTCTCTAGTGTTGAAGCCAGGTTCTATTTAGTATCTTAACCCTTAAATTTCATCTATATCTGGAACCAAGTCATATTGATTTAAAAGAATCTTATCTAATACCTTTGTGTTTGGTCCATCTTCTGTTTCGTTTAAATCTTCTCTCTTTACTTTAAGTTTCTCAATAATAAACTCATCGCTTATATAGGAAGTATTATGAGTAAAGTATGCTAAATCTCGTTGAATTTTCCATGGTACTCTTATATTATGCGATTTAACAGAGCTGCATTCATCAAAAAATCTTTCGAATTTATCACTCTTCATTTCAAGGAGCCTGAATAAATGCTTCTTAAGGAATATAAAATAATCGTAGTTGTCGTTAATAGAAAGTATATCCAGCAGTATATCAATAGATCTAGGCGTAAAGTTCTTCATTGAAAGATCAAAAGGACTTTCATCTTTATTATTCATAAAAAGGAGATAGTATATATAATACTCTGCTTCCTCATTATTAAGCTCCGATGTTTGTCTCTTTATTTCTCTTAGCGATTACTTCAAGAAAGTGAAATTGTTGAATAAATAATGATAGAAATTATTTCCATCTAGTGAGAAATTAAGATGTCTTAATATTGGGATCCCAACTTGGGTATTTTCCTCTATATTTTTCTCATTTCTATATATTCCTAATAGGTATTCCATGTATTAATAATTTATTATATTAGAGCTCATATTAACCTGTAGTTATTCTAAGCCATGACATCCTATGTATTCATTGCAATAAGTACTGAATTTAATTGTATTATCTGTTTGAAATTATTCAATTTAGGTAGGTCTTGTTTTTGAGTAAGATGCCTAGCTTACAAATTAATTTGAAATAATGTGGTCTTGAATTAATTCCCCTTGATACATGTTACACGGGTATTCGAATCTTATGTCATAAATAAAGTTCTTATCTTAAGGTATATAATAATTCAGCCTTTCAGAAACTCCTTTATATATTCTTATATCTTCTCTCAATCCTTTTTAATAGGGTAATTCTAAAATCTGAACTTCAATATTTTTATCTAAATCCCAGGTCACAATATAATTGTATTTAAATGGCTTTGACTAGTGATAGACGAACTAGACTTATGATCTGTTTTAGACCTCTGCAAGTTGAGAAATTTTACCTTTCCTTAAATTTATGTTAATTTTTTCGAAATCTTTGTTTTCAGTAATGTCATCTAGTAATATGTAGAAAATATTTATCTTATTCTAGTAGACCAAGTACTTTCTACCAACAATAATGAAATCATGATCAATTTCTTAAATCAAACTTTAAGCCTTGCTAGTTAAGTCAGCAAATATTTTGTTAAGCTTTTGCTTAAGATGCTTGGCTTTTATTTTTTATTTTTACTCTTCTAAATTATCAAAATTGTTCTCCAAAATTCTTTCGATTTTTTTACCAATATACTCGATTTCTTATTCATTCTTGTAAAAGCTCACATAGTATTGTTGCCAGGTAGTAATTCTATCAATAAGAATTTAATAGACATCTCCCTCAGAGGTTAAACGAATTTTTAATGAAGAGGTACTATCTTTGTTTATAAAATCTGTAGAGACTAGTTTTTTTATTCTTTAAGTAATGACAAGTCTGTAAATATCATCTTTTTTGTAAAGTTTGAGAACTAAAAAATCGCTTTCGTTGAACTTCATTAGAATGTATTGAAATTTTTACGATCTATCGAGCTATGTGGAAATAAATGAAAGGCTTGGCCTTTCATAAATTATGTTTAAAAACTCTTTATCAATATTCATATGTAGTGGCATTCCGAACTTATTGTAAATCATTAAATTATACTTAAGTATGATCAAGATATCGTCATCAAAAGTAAAAGATGTAGCTTACAGCTATTCTCGCATAAAGGAGTCTAGATTCATCAGGTTAAATCTTTTATTAAGCAATAACGGACCGTCATAAATTTAAAGCCACAGATTATCACTACAATATTCGTTAAGATCTTTATTCAACAAACCTCCTGATCTCTGCTTGATTGAGCTTACTCTTTGCTTCTGCTTTGATTGAAATAGAATTTTTTGTATTGTTTCTTTTTACTAAGGAGCTTCATTTTCTTATGAAAACTGGATTATCATGAATCTTCCTTACCCTGAACTTAATTTTGGACCAACATAGAAATCTTTAAAACATGTATCATCTATTATCTTTTATCTTTGAGATTCGAAGTCATTCTCTTGGTCTTTGAGATAACTAGATTCGATTCGCTGGTAGAAGAAGCATCCAATAAAAACAGTGTTATCGGTTATTAGAATTTATTATTCATCATAATTTATTAACTCTAAAGAATTCTTAAACTCCTCAATTATTTTATCTTCTTTGATTTTAACAAGTTAATCCTCTTGATTTTAATATGTTAAGATTATACCTTAATCATCTAAAATATATAGAAACGAACCAAAAGCATTCATTTTTATGATTTAATTTTTTATCTCAAGAGTGTGGCAAATGTTTGCCTCATCATCAGATTCAAATTTCACAAGGTTTATGCCCACTGTTTTTTTGTCTAGTTTTTACGAGAACATTAAATACTTTGAAATTTATGAATCTTAGTTAATATTATCACAAAATGTCATTAAATTTTCAACAGCATTATCTATAAAGTATTTTTGGATGACTTTTTAATGAGATAGATTCAATATGATTATTTCTCTATCATTTTTCATAGTCAAAATATTCAAAATCTATTTCCCAAATTTATATTACCCAATACAAGCTTGTTGTAGTCTAGACGATTAATTGAAAGAAGTTTCAAAAACATTATAACTTCCAATTTTTAAATCCTAAAAGTTTTTTTAATCGAAGTTTGAGAGTTCGAAATAGTTTGGAAGATGTATGCTTTAAATTACGACACTTGAATCTTTTTTCTGAATTGCAAATAAGAGAGTGTTGTGACGATATATTGAGTTTTGATTATCTAACTTTATATCACTTGTAATCATATCAACAAAACAGAGAAATTCTAAATATAATAAATGAAAATCATAGGTTACCTTCTTCTATTAGGTATTTATAGCAAAATTTAGGATGCTGAGAGCAATAAATGTAAAGGTAATTATTATGATCAAATATTGCAGTATATGGATTGATAAAAATGCTCTTAATTTAATCTATAGATAAAGTTAAATGCATTTAATTTTTTACTTTTATTGTTGAATCTTTGAGATTATTAATTTTAATCAATAGTTATATTGAGCATCTTCATTCCATTTAATTCAATGTTAATATCTATGAGAACTAGACATTCAACTGTTTCATCATAAAGTGCATCAACGATATTTTAATGCTAAGTATCCTTCAGCAAAATACCTTGGGTTAACTCATTTTCTTATTCTTCTTATTGCTGTTCTGTTTGAACTTCGGTCCTTTAAAGATTCTTTTGTAGATCTTCAAATTCTTGAACAAAAACATAATTCTAGTCCTAATCAAACATAAGAAAGCGAGAGCCTCCAAGTAGCTTTTGAGATTTATTAAGTATCAATTAATTTTCTAAAGAAATTGACTCAAATTTATCCACGGTATTCTGAAAACTTTCTAATTATATTCTTGTAAGTATTATTCCTTCCATTTCAAAATCAGTTCTTTTTCTATTTTCATTTTTTACGCTGACATACAACTCATTTTGTCCCTCATTTGCAAAGATATTGAACGTATTTGTACAAATTGGTCTTTTTTAGAGATTGATACTAGCTTTTAATTGCAGATAAAGCTTAGGGTTCATACTCGCATTGTTCAAATAATGATTAATCAAATCTGAGAGCAAGTATTAATACAACTTTATATGATTCTTTGATTAGATATTTTAGTTTAAAACTGCAAGAGTTATCATGACTGAGACATGACCATTATTTTCCATAAATTCATTACTTTGTACTTGCTATATAAGCACACTCTTTATTTAGTCTAAATTTAATATAAAACTGATTTAAAAGTTACAATGATCTTTTTTGAAAAATTTCTTGTGATCTATTTAGAATACTACTTTCTTGTCTCTAATAAAGATACTTTTTCTCTGGTCTTCAAGGTATCTAGAATTAGGGATGATAAATCAAATTAATATACATGAGGTACTTAGGTGGTGAATCTTCTCTCAATGAATCTTGAATGAATATTTATATGTTTTCATTAAAGCTTTAAGCTATAAGATAATTTGAGAAATGAATCAATTTACCGTCAAATTTAAGCTGACTTAAGTTTATCGTGTCAAAGCTAGTTTATTCTAGTGTCTTAGAATTTAGTATTATAATTTCTGCTAGTAGTCCATCATCATTCACAGTAACAAAAAAGATGCTTTTCATATCTTAAGAAAACTCAAATTTGTTTTTAAAAATTGTTCTTTTCTCTTGGAAAGTCAATTATTACTGATAGATGACTTTCCTATTCTGAAATTTATTGTCAAACGCTATCATTGAGAAAGTATAAACTGATACTTCATCATCTCCAACTACTCTATGGATTTCAAACATATCTTAGGTTTATTCGAACAAAGGATGATTAAATCTTTCAATCATTGACTGCTCATGGACAAATCTTATAGTAGATGCACCTAATATCTATGAATTCTGATGAAGCATCACCTCTTTACTTAAATTCTATAGCATAGATTTCCCTATGTTTGAAATGTATTAAACGGGCACCTATTCTTAATCTTTTAATTTCTCAAAGTCCACATGCTTAAAAAATATCTTGTGATAATCATCTTTCAAAGTCTTATGAGCACTTATTACTGCACTTCTAAGAAAAATTTTCGAACCTCCATCTTGCTCATCACCCTATTTGGCTTCATCCTCCTCAAATATGATGTAAGATTCATTTATATTATATTTCTTGTTTATCTTTTCTTCAACAGCCTGAGATTAGGCATTACTACTGATCCCTCTTTTATTTGTTGTAGTACCTGGTTTGTTTTGATAGAAATCTTCATGCTTGATTTGTTCTGGGTCAGTACTTAATTCACTGACTTGCATTCCTTGTGGAATATTCTGCTTTTCTAATGTTATTAAATATATCTTGTTATCGACCTTTTAGTTATTAAGATCACTTTTTGAATAATTATCTTCACTCATGCTCAAATTTTGTTCCATTTAATTCATAGTTGGATGAAACTATGCATAAATAAGCTAGCTAGTAGGGATGCGGTACCTTCTAAAATAGTCTTCGTAGAAAGATTTCTGTTTTTCCTTGAAGAAATTTATCTGATTTTGCATTTTATATATCTTTTTTTTACAATTATAATTAGGATATATTAGATAAATATAATATGACTCAACTCTTAAAATAAATTAATGCTTTAGCCTGGGGTTTTGGGGTTTTGGGGTTTTGGGG